TAAAAGTCAACATCTATTTATGATAAAAATTCTCAACAAAGTGGACCTAGAGGGAACATACCTCAACGTAATAAAGGCCATATGTGACAAGCCCACAGCTAACGTAATACTCAACAGGGAAAAGCTGAAAGCTTTTCCTCTAAGATCAGGACCAAGACAAGAATGCCCACTCTTGTCACTTTTGTTCAACATAGTATTGGAAACCCTAGCCACAGCCTTCAGACAAGAAAAAGAGAGAAAACCCATTGTGTGTGTGTGTATGTATATACACACAGACACACACGCACACACATTCTTTATCCATTCATCTACTGGTGGGCTTTTAGGTTGCCTCCACATCTTGACTATTGGAAGTCATGCTGCAGTGAACATAGGATGCATGTATCTTTTCAAATTAATGTTTTAATTTTTCTTCAGATAAATACCCAGGAGTGGAATTGCTGGATCATACAGTAGTTATTTTTACAATTTTTTGAGGAATCTCCATACTGTTTTCTATAGTGGCTGCATCAGTTTACATTCCCACCAGCTGCGTTCCCTGTTGTCCACATCTTCGATAAAACTTGTTATTTGTTATCTTTTTGATAATGGCCATTCTGACAGGTGTGAAGTGGTATCTCATGGTGGTTTTGATTTGCATTTTCCTGGTGATGAGTGATGTTGAGCATCTTATCATGTGCCTGTTGGTCATCTGTATGTCTTCTTTGGAGAAATGTCTGTTCAGATCCTCTGCCCATTTTTTAATCAGGTGGTTTGGTCTCTTGGTGGTCTTCAATCCATTACAGCTATGGTGGGAAGTGATTAATGACTTTCGGGTCAGGTGGGAGGGCTGTGTGATCCTTCCCACAGCAGCTGTTGTCCTGAATGTGGGGGTGAGTTCCGGACAATCACTGAGAGTGTGACTTCATGCCTCTGAGCATCTTCTGTCATAACCTCCCCCTTAGGTGTGCTCATTGGTACTTAAGGGACAGAATTAGTGGAAACCAAGTAGAAAAGTCTTAGTCAAGCAATAAGCCGTGGACAGACAGTAGGATGTGATAAGAGCTGTCACTGGTGGGAGCTGCCATGATGACTGTGGCTTGGATAGGAAATGAGTCCAGAGAGGTGATCGGTTTCCAACAGGGACAGAGTTGAAAGGTAGTGAAGAGCAAGACAAGTTCACATTAACGTTAGAAAGATTAACATGCCTCTTTATTCCCCACAGCCAGTGCTAAAAGTCTACCAAGATCATAAGAAGCCAGAATACATATATGACCAGAACCGACGCCGATTAATCGCTTCTGGAGTCTTAAAGCCTCCAGGAAGCACTGAAGAAAGACGTGCTACCAAATCCCTTAGTCAGTGTCTTGACCATGAAGACTCTGTGAAAAAGAAAAAGCAGGTAAAGTATTAAAGCATTTAATGACTTTTGATGCTTTTAGTTTTAGTTTCATATCGCATTGCTAACATGCCTTTTCACTCACAAGAACAGTGGCAAAGTCGTTTTCTATCAGGAAACGTAGTGGATGTGGAGAACACAATTATTTCCCAGTTACTCCTCTTTAAGGAAACCTTGGACAGTAGTATAAAATCATAAAGGAGAACTTCCAGCGTCTGTACAGTGTCTTCTGATAATCTCTAGCTGGTAAAAAGAAGACATGATAGTGTTTTGGATGTTATTATAACTTTAATGAAAATTTCATCACTATTTCCCCACATCTTTGAAGACCTTGATGAAGGGCAGTAAAACAGAAGTGGAACCAGTTAGAAAGACAACTGATGTGATTGGTGAGAGCTGTAGGATGGGGATTGCCTTGCAAGGACTAAGTGAATTGGAGCTCTGGGGAGAAATCACTGGGGCCTGGCTTTACATGAATGCCTGGAGATAATTAAACAGAAGAACCGAAGTGGGAGGACATACCCACAATAAAAATACCAGCAGAGCTGAGAATTCTCTGAGCTTTTCACTGAGAGGGTCCTTAGAGGCTTGTTAAATGTGTCAGTGCTCGTCTGCCTGTCAAGCTTCGGGCCAGAGTGCTAGAAATGACATGTTGAGGACAAGCTCTGTCCTGGAGGACTTTAGGATCCTGAGGTGTGGGCTGATGGACAGCAAACACCCAAGCGCAGTGGGATGTGATAAGAGCTCTCTCATTGGTCATTTAAAGTCCAGAATAGTGGAGAACCAAGTAGAAGGGGTGCTTATCCCTGAAGGCCAGCGGGGATGGTCGGTGCGAGAAAAGCTGCCCGAGGGAAGGTGCTAAGCTCCGAGGCATGAGTGGAGAGGCAATAAGGCAGATAAGGTGGGGGAGCTGTGGACCTGAGGAGCCAGCTGGAGGGAGGCTCGTGTCAGGTTTGGGTGAGATCATTCTGAGAGAAGATCATATGATAAATTGTATGGCTTCAGTTAATTTGCTTTCTGTGAAGTAGAAGGAAAGAAGGAGATATTTTAAGTGGGGTCATGAAAGATCTGCTTGCCCTTTAACTCATTTGATATAAAGTGGGTTTCAAGAGCTTGAATTTAAAGGTGAGATTGCGTGCGCATCTGGGATGAAGGGAATGGCTGAAAAGGAGTAAGTTATGGGTTATGCTTGGTTGTAGCTGTAATTAAGCGAAGGATTCAACGGAAACTTAGGGATTGAAGGGAAATGTGGAGGAAAAGGGACATTCCCTTTGAGAGGAGAAGGGGGTTTATTCTGAGAGGAGGGTCGTTTTTCTGGGTATCGATTTCTCAGAATGAGTTTAGAATGGAAATGTAACAATGAGGATTTCCTGGGAGATGAAGAGAGGAAGGGAGGAAGGAAGGGAGGGAGGGAGGGAAGAAGGAAGGAAGGGAGGGAGGGAGGGAGGGAAGAAGGAAGGAAGGAGGGAAGGAGGCGGAGGAAGGGGAGAGGAAGTTAGAAACCTTACTTCCAGTAATGAAGGAAGACTGACTTATCAGTTGAGCTGGGCGTCCACCACAGGGAAGTACTACAGGTGATCTACACCTTACGATCAAATGCTCCCCTCATTTCCCTCCCTTCCCACCCCTGCAGAAGCCGAACGTATGTGACTGTTAAGTTGAGTCACATCTTCCCACTGAGTTACAGAACTAGAAACGAGATGAAAGTACGGCGGCCTGCTGTTGAAGAACTCTCTCACCCAGAATGCAGCCCAGCTTTTCACAGGATGAAATAAAGGAAATAAATGTGCTTCCTGTTAAAGGAGGAATACTTGGGCCTCGTAAGAAAGTTGACCGCAGCTCAGCTGAAACACTGGGACCAAGCAGTGTGTGTTTCCTCTGGTTCTGGCCCCTGGTTTGGCCTCTTCTTTTACAGAAGGAAACAGTGCCTTTGCTGCTGTCCCCGGCCAATAAATGAAAGAAACACATTTTATTTTTTGAGTTGGAAGATTTATTTCCTTTAGCTCTGAACTTTCCAGAATTCGTTTCTGAAAGTCTTATTCAACAGAGTATTTAGTCAGAAATGGAGGGTAATGACCCTCATGAATCCAAACCCTCTAGGGCAGTCCTTGCGCAGAGCTTAGGGCAGTAACTCTTGTAGAAACGGCAGAGCCCGCCAACTGTGCTGATAGGCAGGGAAGATGTCATTTATGGATGTTCCTCAGTTACTCATCGAAGCAGGTCTGCAGTGATGATTCTTTTATCTTCAAGCCGGCTACATCTGTTGTGTCAGAGAGACGCAGGGAGGGCCCTTGGGAGTTAACGCCGCGTTTCCCCTAGCACAGTTACCAGCCTCCTCCCCCGGGGGAGGGGATGTGTGTGATGCTGCCTGGAGTTTGTTTCGGGGGGAGCAGAGGAGTGTGAGTGGCACTGAGAGCAGACAGTGGGACCCAGGGATTCCAGCAAAGCTCAAGTGTGTGAACATGGTGGGGACCTAGCCTTAGGGCTCCAGGTGTGGTCCCCAGGCCAGCGGCATCCGCATCTCCTGGAGCAGGTGAGACATGCCGAATCTCAGGCTCCGCCCCAGACTGACCGACAGAATCCGCAGTTTAACCGGACGCCCAGGCGATTCACAGGCAGACTTAAGTGTCAGCAGCGCCGTCTCCAGAACTGGCAGTTACGAGTTAGTAACACACGTGCATCTCCATGGCTCATACATACTGATTCTCAGTGCTCAGTGCAACAGCCCCTGCCATTCACTGAAAACTAGTTTAGTGTGAGTTACGCTGACAGCCGTCCAAGGTGTCACTCACTGAAAAGCATCGAGGTTGTCAGAACCAGGTGAGGGGGTTGAGGGGCGAGGCCGGAGTCAGGGGAGATGCAGAGCAACTGAGCAAGGAGGGTGGCGGCCCCCCACAAGCACCAGGGGGCTGGTAATACTTAACGTAATGAAGACTGAGTGCAGGGAGAGGAGGAGGCGTGCGAGGCACCACTAGGGGGGCTGGACATTTGGGCAGGAGTGCTGAGAAGGAATATGTCCGTGCCCAACAAGGGTGTGAAAATTTTCAGTTCAGAAGTGCTTGCCTTTGAGGCCGAGACATCTCGGGCAGTGTGGTCATTAGTCCTAGGGGTTAATATTTTGTCTCTTATGCCTAGCTCCTTTTTCCCCCCAAAAAACTCATTTTTCACAAAATTGACTTTGTTTCGATCCAGTGGCCTGCGGCTGAGACATTCTTACCCTCTCCGTCTAAACTGCCACGTACCAGCATTGGCAGAAGAGGCCTTTACGAGACCAGTGCCTCAGCTTACCCTGAGTACCACTTCCACGACCGGGAGGAAGTCGTTAAAGCCAACATTCAAAATCCCTTGCAAATCATTAAAATCATACGTGAAAATGAGCACATCGGCTTTCTTTACATGATCTCTGCGGTGCCAAGATCGTCCATTGAATATGACACGTATAACCTGAAGTGAGTTCTCATTTACGAAGCAATTTATTCAACAGTGAAAGTTACAAATAGGATCGCAAATGTTATCCATAATTACTATGAGTATTAATGATAAATATGATAAAATATAGTTTGGGGTGTTATCCAATGACAAATGAATCTTAATCACAACAATTTTGTTTATTTTTTTGTTTATCTTTATTTATAGACATTTTATGAAGTAGTACACTGTGGTGCTTCTTGTATGTTTATATTATGTAATGTCATTTATTTTTAATAAGTATTACGAACGTGTTTTGCACATCTCAGTGATCACTGAGAAAAGAAGATGGCAATGTGTAAAAGTAGATGATGCATAATTTTTTTTACATATTATCTCAGCTTTCCTTAGATTAGAAATAAGGGTTTTTTTTAACAATTAAATGAGTGATTACTTGGCTTATTTATATAGATTAATAATACGCACATGCATACACACACACTCACGTATGCTCTCTGTTGTTGCTAAAAATACCTTTGTTGTTGCAATAATTTGAAGAGTCGCCCAAATGTGAGTCTGCCAGTTGCTTTAAGGTTCAGCACAACAGGTGGTCAGACTTAGAGATGAGACTGACTTTCCTCTAGGGCTGCTCCGCTGGGTTGACTACAGTTGTTAAGACGGTCTTTTCTTGAAGGTGATTGTAGTTGAGCTTTGCCACCAAATTCTCTGAGCTTCTGTCCCCCTTCTCTGCTGCACAGGAAGATAGAAGTTCCTTCTAGGAATTCTCTTGTTCTCCCTTACTCATTGCTGTAGTTTTGATCGAGTCAGATAACACTGAAAACAGCTCTCTTGCTGGGGAAAAATGAGGAGAGAAGAAAAACCTTTTAAGCAAAGATGTAAATGATAGATCTGAAAGAGCTTAACACGAGTGGAAAATCGTTTCTAGAAGGAACAGAGATGCTTGGGAAAATCCAACCATTCAGCAGAATGTACTGAGCACCCACTCTGTAGCATGAGTGCTTCTAGGTGCTAGAAATGTATTAGTTAAAATTTTTAATTAAAATTGCTGCCCTCAGGGAGCTTACATTTTAGCAGAGGGAGACGATAATAACTACAATACAGAAGTAAATTATATAGAGTGCCAGAATGTGCTAGGTATTACAGAAAAAATAGGAGTGGAACAAAAGGGATTGGGAGGTGTGGGAAAGAGGTGGTGTATAAACTGGGGTGGTTAAGGTGAGCCCCACTGAGAAGCTGGCATTGGGACAGAGACTTGAAGGAGGAGCGAATTACATGCTGATGGGGAGAGGGCAGAAGAGCATTCCAGACAGCAGGGAAGTGAACACGAACACCCCAAGGCAGGGACACACCGGGCGTGTTCAAGAAGCGAACAGGAGGCGGGTGTGACTGCTGTAGAGTGACAGAGGACAGGCCATGGCGGGCCTCGCCAACTGTCATAAAAACATGAACATTTAGTGTGAGAAAAACAGAGAAACAAGGAAGGATTTTGAGCAGAGAAATGCCGGGATCTGTATTACATTCGGAAGAGGACCTCTCTGGTTGCTGTGTAGAGACTTTTGAGGAGCAACATTGGAATGGGAAGACCAGTTAGAAGCCTGTTCAGGTAAGAGATGGACCAGGTGGTGGTGGTGGTGGAGGTGGTAAGAAGTGGGTCAGATCCTGGAAATAATTTGGAGGTTAAGCCAATGGGATGTTTTTATGGATTGGATACAAGATGGACAGCCAGAGAGGTGCCCAGGATGACTTCAGGGATCCATTTGACTGAGCAAGAGGAAGGGTGAAGTTGCTGTTAACTAAGATACAGAAGATTGGATGGAACATTCTTCAGGGAAAAACACAAGTTTGGATTTAGACATACTACCTTGGGGATGCTGAAGACAGAGGAGAAGCAGGGTGGCAGATGAAGGGAGAACTGAGATCAAGGGTGAGGTTTTTTGTTTTTTTTTTAAGATGAGATGAATAGCTTGTGTTATTTTGTTTTTGTTTTTTTTATTGAGGTATAGTCAGTTTAGAATGTGTCAATTTCTGGTGTACAGCACAATTCTTCAGTCGTACATGAACATACATATATTCATTTTCATATTCTTTTTCACTGTAAGCTACTACAAGATACTGAATATATTTCCCTGTGCTATACAATATAAACTCGTTTATCTATTTTGTATGTATCAGTCAGTATCTGCAGATCTCGAACTCCCAGCTTATCCCTGCCCACCCCTTCCCCCACTGGTAACCATATGTGTGTTTTCTATGTCTGTGAGTCTGTTTCTGTTTTGTGAAGAAGTTCATTTGTCTTTTTTCAATCTAGGTTTTGATTCTGATCTCATCTAGTTCATATTTTCTTGCTTTAATCTTTCTCATAATTCTGTCAAACTGAGTAGTGTAAAGCTCTTTTACACTATTATTGAATAGTTTCCAAAGGGTCAGTGATAAATAAAAACTTATTTCCAGGTAGCTTCCCTATAGGGCTATTATGTTTTAAAATCCATAATTGTTTTTGTAAAACAAATAATCACATAACTGAAACTATCCAACATATTGCCAACATTGTGAAAGCCTTAAGAGCTATCATAAGTCCAACTGGGGTTAAAAAATTAGCTCCCCTTTCTTTTCTTGAATAATTTATTCAGTCTAAAGGCAGTTGTTAGGATTTTTAAAATTTTAGAATACTTGTTTCCCAGAAATGTTTTATCTTTTTGAAACAAAAAAGTAATGCAATTACTTAATTTTGTAGTGAATATTGTATTCACTTGCCCCAATTTTTGTTTGTTCATAGGGTTGTAAATTATGAGAACATTAATAAAAATGACTACTATACTATTAGCAAAAAGGCAGTAACACATGTTCATAATGACGA